GTGTGTGTGTGTGTGTGTGTGTGTGTGTGTGTGTGTGTGTGTGTGTCCGTCCTCCAGTTGTTTTTTAATAAAAGATTTGTTTTGGTTTGAAAGCCACCTTTATTACATTAACTGAATGCAAACATAGCCCTGCAAAGCAACAGTCCATTTTCTTAAACCTTCACAGTGCATCATCCGCACCAACATAATCACCTTCTAGCATTACAAGCACTGCAATCCCGAGAGTAGCAACAAATATTAGTGGCTTTCAGCTTCAAATGGCTGCCTCAAGGCATCCCTCATCCTTATGGCCTCGCACTGTGCCCCTGTAATAGCCCTGGTCTCTGGCTTTTCAAAGTCTGCATCCAGGTGCTGAGACTCAACGGTCCAGCCCTGAGTGAAGCTTTCAGCCTTCCCATCACAAATATTATGGACCGTTCAGCACGTGGAAATAACCATAGGAATATTGTCATTGGCCAGGTCCAGCCTACCATATAGGCAGTGCCAGTGGGCCTTTAAATGACCAAAAGCACACTCAACAGTCATTCTGCACATGCTGAGCCTGTTGTTGAGCCACTCCTTGCTGCTGTCAAGGTTCCCCACGTATGGCTTCATAAGCCACAGCTTTAAGGGGTAGGTGGGGTCTCCCAGGATCACAATGGGCATTTCGACTTCCCCTACGGTGATCTTCTGGTCTGGGTAGAAAGTTCCTGCTTCCAGCTTCCTGAACAGGCCAGTGTTCTGAAAGTTGCATGCGTCATGCACCTTTCTGGACCAGCCTGCTTTAATGTCCATAAAACACCTATGGCGATCCACAAGCGCCTGGAGAACCATAAAGAAATACCCGTTGTGATTAATGTACTTGGTGGCTAGGTGGTCCGGTGCCAGAATTGCAATATGAGTGCCATCTATCTCCCCTCCGCAGTTAGGGAAGCCCATTTGTGCAAAGCCAACCACGTCGCGCACGTTGCCCAGAGTCCACGGTCTTACGCAGCAGAATGCGATTAATGGCCCTCCACACTTCCATCAACACGAGTCCAATGGTTGACTTTCCCACTCTGAACTGGTTAGTGAACGATCGGTAGCTGTCCAGAGTTGCCAGCTTCCACAGTGCAATCGCCACGCGCTTCTCCAACAACGGGGCAGCTCTCATTTTTGTGTCTCTGTGCCACAGAGCTGGTGTGAGCGCACCACACATTACCATGAAAGTGGCTTTCCTCATTCGAAAGTTCTGCAGCCACTTCTCATCATCCCAGATGAGCATGACGATGTGGTCCCACCACTCAGTGCTTATTTCCTGAGCCCAAAACCAGCGTTCCACTGTAGTTAGCACCTCCGTGAATGCCACAAGCAATCTCATGTCATAGCTATTGCGCGCGGTGAGATCAATGTTAGACATGTCTTGCCTTTGTAGTTTAAGGAACAACTTCACTGCCACTCGTGATGTGTTAGTCAGAGCGATCAGCATATTGGTCAACAGTGCGGGATCCATTCCTGCAGACTGAAGAGGCAGAGTGCACACTACGCAAACCGTTGAAAGATGGCGCCAAATGTGGAAGGAAGTACAGGGATTGCTGGGATGCAAAGCAATGCATCATAGGGCATTGGGACAGGGCCCAGGGTGCCTTGCAACCTCCTCTGCCTTCCCACAACACTTAGCGGCAGAAGAGGACGACATGCTCTGTGGGATAGCTGCTGAATGACGATGCAAATGCCGCAAGTGTGAACACGCTATTGCGCAGGCAGCTGACAGTGTGAACACACAACAGCGGTTTCCCTTTAGCACTCGCTGAGTGGCGCTATAACTGCCGGTGAAGAAAGTCTGCCACTATAGACATACCCTGAGTATGCGTCTGGGTTTTAGAGGACTTAGAAAAAATGGATATTACACAGCAAACTAGACTCAACTTTGTCCAGAGCAGAGCTGCTGCCCCACTATAATGAGAAAAATTGTGTCATCTCACAATGAACCCTCTGACTCCACTTATTACCCTGTTGAAGACATTAAAACATCAGAAGTTACTGACCTGCTACCTGTAGTTCCAATATAGCTTCTTCATAAGAGACACTGGACAGAAAAAAACACTTGTACTGTCCATTGTCAGAGAGTCGCACATTGCGTATTCTCAGGGAAACACTCCCATTGGTGATGTGGTCTCTTAAGAGCTCAGTTCTTGCTCGATATTCCGGCATCTGCTCTCCGTACTGATCCTGCCCATCATGGTACAGGTGCACGACTGCAGAGAACTGGGATCGGAACCATCTCACCTCCATGTTCTCAGCGCTCATCCTGGGGGAGAGGTGGCAGGGCAGGATGGCCTCCCCACCTAGGGAGGCAATGACTGGATGGTCAGGTCCAGCCACTGTGAACTGTGCTGTGAAATGTACAATGAAAAAAGGAAATTAAATCGGCAAGGGGCTGGGGCGTGATGTTAATTCAGCAGTGAGACACACAGTAAGAGTGCCCTGCATTAGAAGTGAGACCATTTAAAGACAAAAGCCTGACAGAGAAAACTTACTATAAACCAATCAAAGGTCTGAATACACATTACACTATCCCAAAGAATTCTCATCTGGCACATGGGACTCTTCGGTAGGTTCCAAAGTTTTTCAAACCTTTCTCTAAGGGTTTGTCCTCTTAATTAACAGGTCCTGTCACTTTGCAGCCCAAGATCTCGGGCCTCTGGTCAGTTCAAATCCAGCTTTTATACCAAAAATCTTTGTTCTCTTGGGCTTCTGGGACCTGGACTAACCCAGTTTATGCAATTCTCCCTAGGAGTGGTACTTCTCTGGAGCGGTTACCTGTCCCTCAAGTAATTATCCCCCATGGTCTGTACATTCTGAAGGAGATGGGGTAACCCTCCCCCATGGCATAGATTACAATCCCAATCCCACAAAGATACATATAACATGTATCGATACCATTGATAAAGGGGGTACAAAAATAAACAGAACATTCATAAAGTGAATTTGATAGTCCCCAAAATGCTGCATGTGGCTACAATATCTGTCACACAGAGTTCACATGAAAGTGTTATACACTGTCCCTATTATCTCTGAATAAAGCTCTAACTTCTCATAGGAACCCTGGGGATAATGATACTGGGGGCCTGGTTCTCTGATACACAAAGGCCTTTTCGTGCTGCTCCAGCACAGGGGCCTCCTCATCTGCAGGAGCAGTGGTGTAAAGGCTGACAAGGTGTAAAGATATGAAAACAGATCATCACTATGCAGGCAATGGCTTTAAAGGTAAAGTCAGGGATCAGATAATGGAGAGGGAGAAGGAGGCAAATAGAAAAGAGCAGGAAACAGAGAATCGGTCACTGTGGAACTGCACAGGATGTGGGAGTCTCAGTGCAGAGACTCAGCATCAGGAGAGACAGAGAGAGCTGGTTAAATTAACAGGATGGAAACCACAGTAGGAGGGAACCAAAATGCCCGAGTAGCTGTGGAGCCATCCCCGGGGTGGAGTGGGTCACTATAAGGGCTTCACTGAAGGCACAGAATGAAGAAGCCAGCAAATATCTTCACATCCTCACTGTGAGATGAGATCTAGCTCTGAGCCCTAGTCACATGTGCCTAGTGCAGCATGAATGACTTGTGGGTTGTTACGTCTAAACTGGCAAGTCTAGGATTCAGGACTCCTTCGTGACTGAAGAGTCTGCTTTCTGACGTATTCGGTCTGTCAGTGCAGTGTCTAGGAATTGGGTAGTTTCCTTTTAAATAGTTTGCGAGCCCTGTAGTGGTGCTCTCTGTGTTCTGTGTTTTAGAAACTGCCAGAAATCAGCCAGAGCGGTAGGAAGGATGTAGTGTCAAGGCCTGACAAGATGGTGTATAGATAGGAACCATGGTTACTGGGGACCCAGGTGTAGCCTGTGATTTCTCCATGAGCTCCTACCTGACGCCAGCCTGTGAACCTGTAGAGCGAGGCAGAGAGCGACGTAGCTGGGCAGAGCGGAGCTCACTGTGGAACCGGGGGAGAACGAGGGAACCTTCCCCGTCATCGTAGCTTGGTCTGGGGAACAGAAGAAATAACAAAACAGACAGCGAGTGAGTGGAATGCAGTGACAGTGCCAGGTTGTCTGACTTTCATAGCCCTGGTCCATGGATCAGTTATGTTTACATTAGCACACTTCCCAATATTCATAGACTAAGGTCAGAGGGGACCATTAGATCATCTAGTCTGATCTATGCCACAGGCCAAAGACTCTCACCCATTTACCCCTGTACTGAGCCCAAACTTGTGTTTGACTGAAGCATCTTCCAGAAAGTCACAAAGTCTTTATCTGAAGACAGCAAGAGATGGACAATTCACCAGTTCCCTTGGTAGTTTGCTCCAGTGATTAATCACCCTCATGGTTACAATTCTGTGCCTTAATTCTAATTAGAATTTGTCCAGTTTTAACTTCCACCCATTGGTTCTGGTTATGCCTTTCTCCACTTTATTAAAGAGCCCTTTAGCACCATGTACCTTCTTCATTGTCGGGGACTCGAACCCAGACGGCACGGTTAGTTGTCTGACCGCAAAGAGACAGGCAACACCAGCAAGGTCCAAACAC